AGTGATTTTCTGGATTTTTTTTTTTTCATTTTGTCTCTCATAGTTGAGGTATACCTAGGATGAAAATTACAGGCCTCTCTCATCTTTTTAAGGGGGAGAACTTGCACAATTGGTGGCTGACTAAATACCTTTTTGCCCCACTGTATGTGGGGCACATGCCGTACCATGAGAAAAAGGATGTAAGGAGATCTTGTTAGCCCCAACTGACTTCATCGGGAGGACAATTGTATACATCATATACAAAGATTGACATCACAGCTGCCCGTCTATATTCAGTTTATAGCAGTTGCCATGGTAAAAAAGACAAACATGAACAATATGAACTTGAAGACTTCTAAAGAGACGCAGTTTTTTTCTAGGATAAATATTTTTGGAGCTGAGTGCATTTGAATACATACAATACTGTGATGCTAGGTAGCACATGGTTTACAAGAAGACTTACCACAAAACAGAATTTTATCTAACATTTCCAATGAAAACACAAGCTTTAATCCTCATTTGGTCTTTATCTGTTTAGAGTTGGATGAGCATTAGCTGAATGTGACAACAGAAAGATCTACAACATAAAGAACAGGTAACAGAAGTTTCATGTAAATGTTCAAGGCTTTTATTGGTTATACGTACATAGCTACAGTGTAGTTATGACGATGAAAACCTTAGGTCACAGGCTCCTCCTTAAATGTCTATAAATGATTGAGATTTTATATCTTAGTAAACGACATATAATTGGTCAATACAAGACATTTAAAGATGTCACCTTGAAAGTTTTCCCTATTTTCTGACATTTTATAAACCAAGCGATTAATCTTTGATAACTTAAGAATAATCCTTTTGTTGCAGCCCGACTCAACACAGGTAACATGTTTGCCTAATTTTAGCCCATGCATCTATAATCCATTACAGTGTGGATCTTCATCAGAGAATCCATCTGGCGTTTTGTGTCTTGCATGGAATCTAATTCAGGTCCATCACTGAGCCAAATACTGTGTGTCCAACATCAGATTAACATTGAGCTTAAAAGGCCCATCTATCAGATGCAAAGCATTATTTAAAAGTCAATAAACTAGACTTAAGATCACTAAAGGAGCAATATAAAATCATTTTATTGAATCACAGGCAGGCTTTCATTCAGTGTGCATGCATCATCCCTTAGAGCAGGGGTGTCAAACTCAAGGACCGGGGGNAGACTGAATCTGCAATAGGTAAGCAGCTCGGTGTGAAGAAATCAACTGTGGGGAGATTATCAGTGGTCTTGTATGTCTTCCATTTTCTAATAATTGCTCCCACAGTTGATTTCTTCACACCGAGCTGCTTACCTATTGCAGATTCAGTCTTCCCAGCCTAATGCAGGTCTACAATTTTGTTTCTGGTGTCCCTTGACAGCTCTTTGGTCTTGGCCATAGTGGAGTTTGGAGTGTGACTGTTTGAGGTTGTGGACAGGTGTCTTTTATACTGATAACGAGTTCAAACAGGTGCCATTAATACAGTTAACAAGTGGAGGACAGAGGAGGCTCTTAAAGAAGAAGTTGCAGGTCTGTGAGAGCCAGAAATCTTGTTTGTTTGTAGGTGACCAAATACTTATTTTCCACCATAATTTGCAAATAAAGTCTTTACAAATCAGACAATGTGATTTTCCGGATTTTTTTTTTCTCATTTTGTCTCTCATAGTTGAGGTATACCTAGGATGAAAATGACAGGCCTCATCTTTTTAAGTGGGAGAACTTGCACAATTGGTGGCTGACTAAATACTTTTTTGCCCCACTGTATGTCCCATATCAATCTTACATAATGTGCTGACTTAAGGCCTGCTCTCTGTCAAGGGAAGAGGGTAATGAAAAACATGGTATGGGTTTTTAGAAGAGGATAAGATTAGCGCTCAAAAGGTTAAATGACATCAGTGGTCATTACCCAGAGATGCAGAGGTTTTCTGACCAAAAGCTTTTACAGAAACCGGAGACACTTGATGCAGTTGGTTGCGGCTGTTTTCATCATCTCTCCAATCCATCTTCTGCGGTGAATGTAAAGCACAAGATTAAGGGAAAGTGGCTGTTACACATCATGTTGTCACACTTCAAAACATACCTACTGGATTAGGTTAATCCCTTTTAGGTCCAAGTCAAACATGTATTTGCTCACGTTGTGAATGGAAAGGCTTTGTGTTGACTCTCTCTGACCATCTCTAATCCCACACCAGAGTTATTTAGATCAACAAGATGAACTTTGTGCTGTACTAGTTGTCATAAAACCCTCCATTAATTGGGTGGGTGTACGGTACTGAGGTATGCATAACCAGCAGTGCAATAACCCAACCTTGTCCTTTGGTCTATGATAGACATTTTTCATCTTCATTTAAAGCATGCAGTCGTTGTTTATGCTGCCGTGATTTTACGTCCCCGATAACACTGACACGCCTCCAAAGTACTTCCTGTTCTCAGATATCTGATTGCAAGGAGACATTTCGCAACTGTGTTTGGCATTCACTAAAATCTCTTTGTTGATCATGTTTAATCTTTATCTGTGATGGTATTATGAGTTTATAGAAACTACAGTTCATGGCTTTTAAAGAGACGTTTAATGATCTCTCTTTTCCCCCTTCTTTGCAGTCTTTCCAATTTGGTATCACTAGAACTCAGAGAAAATCTGCTCACATTCCTACCAGAGTAAGTATTCAATCAACTGCACTTTCTACATAATCAGTTTTTATTATAATACGTTATCATACAGCAAATGCAAGACCCTTCATACCAGACTCTCAATCTACAACAAACAAAAGACAACATAATAACACCACTATATGCTGACACTTTAAAGTAACAATCATTTCAATAATAATCACATTATAGTCATCCAAAATATACTTTGTCTGCAAGTATTTATCCAATTTCTTTGGATTTGGATAGTTACATTTTTTTTAAGTAGTTCTATCTTGAATAAAACCTATTATTCAAACTATGCTTAATTTTCCTAATCACTGTGTATTCATTTCCACGTGTCATCCACAGGTCACTATCCATGCTCCATAGACTTGAAGAGCTGGACCTAGGAAATAATGAACTATACAATTTGGTAAGTTGTGTTTTTTTCTTTCTTCTGGATGCCAGGAAATGTGAGCCAAATAAACTTTTCCCATTTCCTTTTTTCTTGTCAAGTCAAAGTAGATTAGCATCCCTTGAGAACAGCTTTCACTTCTTATCACTCAGATGGGAGGACAGCCATCTGCGTTGAGCTTTGGCTCCTAGTTGTAATCACATATGCGCATCCGGACTCTCATGGTGAATGATTTACTCGCAGACAAAGCAAAGTTAGAGTGTCAAGAAATGAGTCTTTTTGTGTTTAATTGTATTTATAAGTTATCATGTGTACATTGCACTGCAGTTATTTACTTAGTTGGATGAGTTTTCTTCTGCTCTCGGTTTTGGGTATTGATATATTCTACAGTTCTAAAAGGTAGCTCCGAACTCTTTGAGGATTAGAAGTATATGGAGTAAAGGACCCTTTTTTACATTGACCGTTAGTGCGCATGCCTCCATTAGGCTGGACGTTGCTATGTGCCGACTACATTTTTGATTTCATTTAGAATTAAATGGAATAAGTTAATAAATAAATCAATGTTAAATGTAATTTCATTTAAGTTACAAATCAGCTCACTTATGTGATACATCAATGCTTTGCTGTGTGTTTTTCTTCTGTTATCCCGGCTCTCATTGTCTCTCCTTTCATTTTCTTCCTCCCACACAGCCAGAGTCAATAGGCTGTCTTGTGAGCCTCAAGGACTTGTGGCTGGATGGAAACCAGTTGGCTGAAATCCCCTCAGTGAGCTAATCAATTTCTCTCTTATATTTCATTATCTAATTTTCTCTGTATTGATCAGAGAACCACCATTTCATATAGTTATATTTATTGTATTTCGATATAATCAGAAAATACAATGTGCAACATTTGTCTTATCCACCCAAAGAAAAAACAAATGCTGTCTTGGTGTCATGTTGGCCAACACCCTGAAACAAAGTTCTGTAACTACGATATATTATGCAATATTAGTTAAAAAAAAAAATATATATTTTTTTTCTTTTAAAAGTATTTATTTTGATAATAGCATCAGTGTCGACACCACACCCAAGTCCTGAGATAAAGCTTGTGCTAATGCATAAACGTGATGGATTACTGCTTTTAGATTATATTTGCTTACAACCAGTCTCTGCTCTGAATTTTAGGAGATGGGCAGTATGAAAAGCATGTTGTGTCTGGATGTATCAGAAAATAAAATGGAGCGACTTCCAGAGGAGTTAGGAGGCCTGACGTCGCTCACTGACCTGCTGGTGTCTCAGAACCTCATCGATGCGCTGCCAGAAAGCATAGGTAGGCATGGCAACCATCCTAGCTTTTCTACGAATCTGTCATAAGAGCTTTTCTTGTGTATCGTCAGACTACCTTAGCTATTTTGTCCTCATTGGGTAATTTCACATATGCTAAATAATAGCTATTTCCTAAAGTTTCATTCAAAATGGCCTGTTGGCATGTTCATAATATAAAACCCATTGAACGTAATATGTTCAACGTGCCAAGCTTTGGTGTGAAAACAACCCACTTGAAGTAAATATTCAAGCTCACTAGTACTTTTGCTCACTACCACAGTAACTGCGTCATTAGTCTGCTAGACTGCCATGTTTGTTTGATTAATATATATCATTTTTTCTTTTCTCTCTGCAGGAAAGCTACGGAAACTGTCTATATTGAAAGCTGATCAGAATAGGCTAACGTATCTCCCAGAGAGCATCGGTAACTGTGAAAGCCTGACTGAACTCGTGCTCACAGAGAACCAGCTGCAGGTATGTTACAACTTCTTTAAACATGTAAAGAACATCTTTCAGTTATTTTACAGATTGTGGCTTATTGTAACTAACTTGAAAATAGCTGTAGGCAACACCAATTTCCAAACCTTAAAAATATCCTTGCATATCTGTCTAACTATTTTCATTTAACTATTACCAGGTACTTGGCACATAAATACAGTTAATATGAAAGCAGTACATTACATAAAGGTTTTGGTATAATGAAAGAATAAAGATCTTATCCTCATGACAAATTAAATCCAATTATTATAGATTTGTTTGTTTGTGCCTTTTACCTTCATCCAATGTGGTGAAAAATGCCGTTTGAGTCATTCAATGGCTAAAAAAAGCATTCAACAACCTGCCTTTTGTGCTATGTTTTTAAACCGTCTGGAGCTTAACACTGATATCTAAAACATCTGGAATATGACAATAAAATATACATTTCCCACAGAGATAGAAAGCCACATTCAGGGGATGCATACAGTATGTATGCTTTTCTGTTTTGTGTGTGAGTAAATGTAGCGTCTGTCTGAGAAAAACATCTCCTTTTGTGTCTGTGCATGAGAGCACTGCACTGTGCTGAATACACATGGATGATTTAATTGTGTATATTGTCTTTGGAACAATTGACACGTGGGACACACGGTTCAATAAATCAGTTACAAACCAGAAAAGGAAATACTCTTGTTGTGCCTTCCAGTGTTTTTAAAACTCACTACGTTGCTTTAATTGTTGACATTCCTTCATTACAGAGTTTGCCTAGGAGTATCGGGAAATTAAAGCGAGTTTCCAACTTCAACTGTGACAGAAACCAGCTAACGTCATTACCGAAAGAGGTAAGCTTCGCATATATCTTTTATTTCAAATGTTTTTTTTCATGTAGATCCATTGAGTGTTATAAGAAGCAATTCATGAAACTGACTATAAAACTCTAAAGGTGAAGTTGTACATTTACACAAAATATAACATTGTAGGTTTTGTTCCCTCAGGGGAATTACTTATGCAGGTGTTAGTGTAAAAATAACTGAAGATGTTGCTCTGCCAGCCTGTAGATGGCCCACATTGATACATTCTACATCTCCAGGTCTAAGCAGCAGCTGATTGTAATTTTAGGTCCAAAAGGGTCATGGTTTAGATTGACACATCTGACATACATATAACATTCAAAAGTTACAAGGCTATAATTTTCTCCTTCAATCAAATAAAAAAAGCTTTCAGTACACTGATGCAATGCTGTTAGACTGCATTTGTTGTTATGCAATTCTCTACTGCGATGGATTTTCATTGGCTCAAACCGTGTAAAGTTCCCTCACGTTTGGATCAACAACAATGCTCTTGCTTGTGGAGTTTACTGCTCGGCTCTCTGTTGGTTCAGCTCCGTCTGAGTGTCTCCATTGTGTTTGTACGTGACATTCTTTTCTAAACCTCTTGTCTGTTTAAGTTTACGCTTCCTCTGAAAGGCTTCTTCAGACGTCGTACAATGCCCCTGTGTCATAATGATGCAAAGACCGCGGGGTTGGGAGAAAAATAACAGCAGGCCTAGATCATGAATCCATGATGTCAGCGTTTTCTCAAACCAGCATTGAAATGACATCTCGAACAATCGCAGTGTAACCACGGCGACCAAGTATTGATTCTCTGAGCTACCTGACCATTGGTCCAGTTTTATGGATTCTATTGATTGTTGATTAGCGACTCATAACACTTTTTCCTAGCTGATTGTAGTCCGTGCTTACATGGACTTAACAAAGTGTGATTTATTTTGTTTTGCTCCTCACGCCTTGTTTACTGATGACTTGAGAGGTGTTAAGCAGCTATCAGATAAACCCGTGTAGATGATGAGCTTAATCTGATCATTCACAATACTTGTTTCCTGAGCAGATTAATGGATCACAACTGCAGCTGGCCCAACACATCTTCCGTTATGTGGCTGCTAGGACTAGTTGTTCCTAAAAAAGTGTTACCTACATGTTTGTCTACCTATACTATGTGTTTATCCTTCCAAGTACTCTAACTAACGTACAGCCGTATCATGGTGTCTCTTCTGTTTTGTAGATTGGGGGCTGCAGTGGTCTGAATGTCTTCTGTGTTCGAGAGAACAGACTGACGTGGATACCGTCAGAGCTGTCGCAGGCAACAGATCTGCACGTGCTCGATGTCTCTGGAAATAGGTACAACAAATCTGTATTTTATTTATTTTGAATATGTTTATTGTATCTTTGTAACTCTGGCACAACAACTTCCTTCGGGATAAATAAAGTCCTGTCTTATCTTATCTTATTTGAAGACTCACACACCTGCAAATAATGTTTTTATGTGTTCGAAAACATTTTCCTATATACAGATTAATTTACAGACTTTAGTTTTCCATGTCATTATACGTGATAAATGCTTGAGGAAATTCAGTTTTTATTTTTACCTTCTGATGCATATCTATGATCTTCATATTACTCACCATCAGTCAGGGGTTGTTTTGGCTTTGCTTCTCTGCCACTACCTGTTATGGTCCAAGCTTTTCTCTTCAGAGAAAGCAGCAGTGACGTCTTCTTCTTTAGTCTCACACAAACCTGTTCACCTCTCTGTGTCTGGAGAGCGTTTCCCTCCTACACATTGTCATAACAACTGCTAGCCTGCAGGTACCTTGTGCTCTCTTTATATCATACCAAGAAAGTGGATCACATCACTCCAGCTCTGAAGTCTCGACATTGGCTTCCTGTCTGTCAAATAACTGACACTAAAATACAAAAGCTTTTTATAGAGCATTGTATGGGTTAGTGCTATGTTATGATCCATTGAGACCCCTCAGGTTGCCTGGTACCAGTCTGATTTCTGTCCCAAGAGTTACATCTAAACCCAGGGAGCCAAAGTCAGTTTGTATTCTCCTTCAATCTGAAACAAACTCTGCTGAAACTCTCACTTTTTTCAAATCAATGCTGAAAGTCTGCTGCCTTTTTTATTTTGTTAAAATAATACTATTTCTAACATTCTTCCTTGTATCTTTATACCTGTCTTATTCTATTTTAGCTTGTTTAATTATGTTTTCTCTTTTTCTTACCTGATTTGATTTATATCCTGTTTGTTTTCAGGCTTGTTCACTTACCGCTGTCACTGACCACGCTTCGACTGAAGGCCTTATGGTTGTCTGAGAACCAGTCGCAGCCTCTCCTCACCTTCCAGACGGACCAGGACCCCGAGTCGGGCGAGAAGGTGCTCACCTGCGTGCTGCTGCCTCAGCAGCCGTGTGAACCAGACACTAAAGGTAATGTTTTTCCAAACTATCCTCAGGGGTTTCCAGTAACCCGCATGAGTCATGGGTGTTATCAGAAACAGGGAGTGTTCCACTGACTGAAACGACTGCACTACTTGTTTGTAGATCAGTGTCTCTTTGCTCCTTGAGTGTCTGGCTCCTCAAGTGGAACGTTTTGGTGCCTCAATGGTGACAGTCGAGTAACATTCCTCATCACTAGTCGCATCGTCTCCAAGTATTTAGTGCCCCGCGGTTTGGATGACATTATCACATGATATGCTCGGGGAAGCATAACGAGTCGAGGGTCCTCAGGATCCTTCCCTGCAGTGACTGTCGATTACGAGCTTCTGCTAGGGATCACGGCCTATAACAGACTCGCGTCCCTTGAGGCCCTCCTTGGTTATGTTTTTCAGAATTGCGCTGGATTGGACGGCTAAAGAGGCTTAGCAGCAGCTGGCCCGTTGCCATTAAAAGCTCGCCCACTGTGGGGTATAGAGATGGGGCTGAGGGTCGCCTCTAACTCTGCCTGATACAGAATTTGAATGTAGTTTATTTTCTTTGCTGTCATCCTTGCGCCTAACTATGCCTGGATTCAATCCTATTTTCCCTGCATGTTACTGTAGTTTGCATTCAACTAGATGTTCTTCTCCCCGGCAAAAAAAACATGCATTCTTTTATTTTGTGACGTGCCATCGCAGATTGAAGACTGGCGGAGGTCATATGTGTGAGGCTGAATCTGAGGTTGGGGGCAGGGAAGATTGTGTTGCTGTAAGCCTATGACTAATCCAGGATTTGAAACTGTGATCTGGCAGTTTCAGGCTCTCTCTTATGAGCACCGGGTTATATGACAGATTTCATTTCTTGAGTTGGCATGTTGCGGCCAAGCAATCATAACCATATTGATTTCCATCTGCTCCTATTCACTTCAGGTCACCCTCTGTAATTGTATCTGAGCATTTTGAAGTTTGCGTGAATTAAATTAACACAAATGGTGTTGTCTCTTTCCAAAACGACCACAGGCTCTGATAATCTCGCCCGCTGTGGAGCCCTGGAGAGCCTGGTGAACGACGTGGCAGACGACACCTGGGACAACAAAGCCATGAACAGGATCAGTGCCATTCACTTTCTGGATGATGATGAGGACGAGGATGACGAGAAGGTAAGACCAACATGCCAAAGGGCAAAATTCACAGAAATCTATCCAGAGATCTATCAATCTAGCTTCAGGATTGTAGGAAACAGTATTTCGATCTCTCTGTCTGTACACACAAACATTCAGCCCAGCTGAGGTTGGCTATCAATGGACAGCAGCTTGTTTTGTGTCTAGATGGGGTTTTAGCATTTATTTACCAACAACATACCTAAACTGTACAAACACGGCAGTGCCATTTCCGCATTTTCTTCCCATTTTCCAGTTGTCTTCTGCTGTACTTTCCAATACAGGCAAAAAAGTAAATGAATCTTCATATGTATTATTGACATGTGAGATTCCTCAATACTCTGGAATACCTAGATTATACTACTTGAATCAGGTCATTCTGTGGGAATCATAAATGAGTAAATGGAAACTGTTTTATTGGAAATGCTTATTATAGTTTGGAGATGTATCAGTCTGGACCCCACGTCTCTTTTTGTACTGGAAACAGCTTACTGCCTACAACAGATATGAACAATTCCTCTTTTTTTCTACAGAATGCACCACTAAATTGAATCTGTTTCCTTCACACAGGGAACACTACTGCGACGGGCCACGCCTCACCCCGGCGAGCTGAAGACGATGAAGAAAGCGGCGGAGAACCTCCGCAAAGACCTGAACGCTGCCAAAGGCCTGGACTCCAACAAAAACGAGGTCAATAACGCTGCAGACAGAGTGACCACATCTGTGTGAACTTTACCTCACAAATGTTTTGTACCTCCTGTGTCTCGCCATGTCGTCCCGCACAACCCCCGCAGACCCTTTTTTTTTTTTTATACCTTGCGACCCCCGGTGTGGCCTACCCCTCCTCTGATTAAACCCCGGGACACCTGTAAGTGTACTGCCTGTACTCCATTGCCAGTCCTACGTAAAACGTGTCCGTCTGCCAGGGCCGCTGTGCCTTCCTCTTTGTAATTAATGTCAGCAGCAATAATCTGCACAGAGATGCTCCTTTTAAAATATTTTAAAGATGTATTACTTTTCTAATACCTCTTTTTAAAAATACACATTAGGTAGTTGCACTATTATAAGTCTTTATAACACGGTCAAACCTTCATAAATGTCTTATATATTTGTTCTTTATCTATTTTTAAAACACTGGGTGAATTCTTTTTACATTTCGGGCAAACATAAAAGCAGGAGTTTTTGGACCTACTGATTAAGGATTCTTGTATAGTCTCTTGTGAATATTGATACTTTTATACTTTTTGGCAGCTCAGATGTAAATAAATATGTATAGCACATTTATGAATCAGATGCAGATTTTTAAGTTGGTACTTTTTTCCTTTTTTTTTAAATCAACGAAATGATAAAACACAGTCACTGATGTCTTATTCAATCCATACAGTTGTCATTGGGTGAGTGGAAGGCCTTGCAAACTCTTTGTTGATCTGTAAAACATCTAGACCTATTTTTGGATAACTAGATTTAATTAAGTTTGGATTTAAGTACTGCACATCAACCATTAATTACTCGCCTGCAACCTAATAAAGCAGAAGTAACGATGCTGTCTTATTTATATGTGCTGAGCTTCACATCTTTGCAATGTTTTTCAAATAGATGCCAAAAATGGTTGTATATTATTTTAAAAAAAAGGTTTGTCTTTCCTTTTTAACTAAGAGTACTGTATATAATAATCATCTTAGGTTTTTGGTGAAAATGAGGTTCGTACCACAAGGATGGCATCCTTTTAAAAATGCGGTTGTTAGAAGTTGAACTTAAATGCACTTCTCAGTGCTTCTCAAATTATTTACATGGTACACGATCATTTGTATTATTTTTGTTTTTAAATTGAGTGCAAAAAGTGGACCAGAGAAATTGGTTCAAGTGTTGGCTTTTATGTTTTTAATTATGTTCTGATCAAACTGCACAAAACGGATCTCAAACGGACACTGTGCCTGGAGATTTGGATGACTTTTTTTTTTAACCACTGATCAATAAAATGAGTGCAACACTAAACAGTATGTTTCTTATTCCTTTTCAATGATTGAGTTTAGAGACAATCTGATTTACAATAATATAAGGTACATCTGGTGTGGTCTTTCTTTTAACCTATAACCAAAAATACCTTAAAGTGGTTTTCTTTGAGGAAACAAATCAGATATTCCAGTTCCTGACCTCCCTCCATTGCTTCTGTCTGTCCAGCAGTGCACGGTGTTTCTGCAAAGCTCTGCCAGCATGTATTTGACTTGTCTACCCTGCACGTGCTGCATGTTGTACTGACACTGGGAGAGTAAAGACTGAATGTATATATACACCTATGTATACAGTATTATGATGTTTGTTGCATATGCACTTTCATTTAAATCTCATTGTACATTTCTGTTTGAAAATGAAAAATGTGGTGTTTGAGTTATCAGTTAGGTTAAAAAAACAGATAATCTCTCTTTCTCTGCCTCCTAAAGAAGCAACAAAAGAAACACGTTGTCAAAAGGGCAGAGAAAAAGACAAATTAAGCTTTTGATATCAATCTTCCAGCTTGACTGCTTTTAAGCTCTTCAAAAACAATTGTACCAGTAAGACTATTGGATTTGCACTCTGCGCCCCCTGGTGCAACAATATAAGCTTGCATGTTGAAAATTAAGCCGGATTTTACTATTGTTTTTGTCTCAAATAATAAATATAAATGCTGCCCTTCTAGAAAGCATGAGCATTTTTCTAGAGTCAGCTTGGATATGATGTACTATCTGACTTTTATTATGATCGGACTTCACATGACCAGTTTACGCATCATTATGATGGACGTGGCTTTATCAAAGTATTCATCCAACACTGTCACTTCTTATTTCCGTCAATATATTACATTAAAATTACATTTTCAGCAAAGGCCGGCGTCTCCTGACTATCTCCAGGAGTGTCAAAAGCCTCACACTAACCCGCTCCCCAGCTCCGGTAGGCAGCACTGGGCCATGATCTCAGGCTTTGATCAGGGGGAGAACAAACAGCGTCAGCAGACTAGGAACCTGGTGAGCGCTGGAGTGTGTGCTCGCTCCTCCAGCGCAGAGAAGGATGCAGAGGACACAGAACAACATGAGGAGATCTTTTTTCCACTCCAGGTATCTTCTTATCAGCCACTTCCACTGCTGATGATCATCAACTGTTGTCGTGCTGCAGAATTACACTTAGTCTAGATGTGTCATTATTTTAATATATATATTCTTTTTTAATGAAATGCAAACTCACAACACTGTCATCTGTTCAGAGCAGACAAAGGCATCAATGTACAATGTTAATATACATGTATAACACAGGTGTCCAAACTACGGCCCGGGGGCCAAATGGGGCCCGTGGACTATTTTGAATTGGCCCTCAGCAAATTCAAAAAGTATAATGTAATACAGCCCAGAAATGAAACTTGTGCTTGTCTTATATTGTAGTTCTTAAATATAAATGTAAAAAGATATTACAGTAGTGTTCGTGTGTTAATAAGACCACTTTTCAAATAAATTCAGTCTATTAAAGTTGGAAACATTTTCTAACATATCTTAGCATAAAAGCCCAATGACTTATTTACATAACAAGCTTGAAATACACCCTTCCTATTTCTCCTTTATTATAATCAATCTAAGGCTTCTGTTTTAAGGGATGAGCTGCCAACACTCACACGATTAATTTACATTTCCATTGATTTTGCTGATTTATAACTGAATTTATGAGGCAATATACCTCTAGTGAGTGACCCAGCCCTTCGTATATTTCTCTGTATGTGGCCCTCGGTGAAAAAAGTTTGGGCACCCCTGATCTATAAACTCTTAGAAATCAGTTGAATAAGTACAGTTCAATACAAATTGGGGACCTTAAGTCAAGGCTGCATCTTTTAATCCCTTATATTAATTTAATGCCTTCGTGAATTCAAAGTGAAACATCCACGGCTGTGTTGGATTATTGTTTATCCCCAGGATGCTGCAGGCCAGCTGCCAGCAGAGAGCGATGCCATACCACGGCGGTTTTGCCCTCAGAGGGTCGAAACCCGAGACGGGAGGAAGTGTCAGCATCAAAGAGCTCTTAATGCAGGGTCTGGTCAACATGGAGACCCCAGCCCCGACCTAAAGACCTCCTCCATCACAGGGAAGTCTTCTTCAGTGACGGAGACGACCCTTCCTCAGGAATCATTGGCCTCTGAAGTGCCATTAAGAGTAACTGCACGCTGTGTCTTCTTCAGTGTTTATCCATCTCTTTGGGGCTGCATTAGATGGGGCTGCTGGAGACTCTATTGATTGTGGCAAATTGTTGCTAATGTAATTTTTGTTAGAGTTGCCTCACCCAGGCTTATTATGTAAATAGATTATAGCTTTTCATTTCCAATTTCCTCCAAGTTACAGATCAAAGTGTCCAGCCAGAGTGGTGGTTTGGGAATCAGCATTGCTGGTGGAATAGGCTCGATGCCTTACAAAGACCACGATGAGGTAAGAAGATCTCTTGCAACATGTGTGATCATTGGCTGAAGGTAATGAGAAGAAACCTTGAGCAATTGAACAATATACTGTTTTGACACATACAGTACATCACATAGCCATAAGATAGCCTGTTCAATAAATTCTATCTTTCAACTATTTCCAACTTTATAAAAAGATGGTCAAACATGTCGTCAAGCCTATACAATGTATTATGTAACTTCTAAATAATAAACTCTAAAGGCCATTCATACTCAAAGGCCTTTAATTTTCCTACAACTCTTGGACTACAGTATATGCCATAAATGACCTTCCCTCTCCATCAAAATATGCACATTACTTGTATTTCATAACATATTTAAAAAAGAACACCGGTACTATAGTAAATGTGTTTAGTATTTGTGTTTATGTGTGTAATTTCTAATTTACCCCTTTCTTCGTGCTAAACCAAACAAAATGTCTACAATACATATTCAAATTCACAAACACACATTTGTTTTTAGATCATTATTTCAACCCATTCACTCTCTAACATGTCTATTTCCCTTCAGGGTATTTTTATTTCCAGAGTAAATAAAGGGGGGGCGTCAGAAAAGGCTGGGGTCCATGTTGGAGATAGATTGCTGGAGGTAGGCTGGGAATACTTTTAAAAAAAATATTTGTAAACTCATGTTTGTGATTTCCTATCCACTACAAAGTGTGTGAAATTACTTTTTACTTGCTGCGAGAATATCATTATGAAACCTCCCACTGGTGTTTCTCTTATGACCAATGGAGGGCATCATAGGACCAGCAGAGGCTGACAGACACTCTGGGGCTTCCGCAACCCCAATATGAGACTTAAAAATAAAAAAACAAGCAAATGAAAATATTAAAAAAAATTTTTTAGATTCAGACATTGGCAGAGAAAGTTATTCTTATCAGTGTCTTCATTGGGAATTGAAATCTTTGTGAGGCAAATTTGTGCTAAGTTACATTGAGATTTATGAATGAAATTACCTTGACTTGAACAGCCATGCTATTTGGAGATGCTGTGTGTGAGTGCGTGATTTAATGTCTCACCTCTAACTCCTGATCCTACTTTCACTGACCCCTGAAAGCTTAATGTGACCACTGCCTTCCAGGTCAATGGCCTCAATATGCAGCTGGTGACCCACCATGGGGCAGTCACTGCCCTCAGGAATGCTGGGAGCTGCATCAAGATGAAAGTGCTCAGAGAGAGGCTGCTACCTCGAGAGTTGTGTGACCCGGGGGAGCACAAGGATCTTTGGGACGTGACAAGCCGACAGCCGGTCAGCCAAGAAGGCGGGAGCCAGAGAGGAAAACAGCCAAAGATGGAGAACACAGATTTCTGTTGGTCTAAGAAGATTGAGAAGAGTGTCTGCAACGGCAATGGCATTGTGAGTGCTGTTCTCCAATCCCAGCACAAACTGAATATTTTTTTTAAAGGTTGTTTCAAAATGAACATCAAGCAAGATGTGTGGACTTTTTTCAGATAACTTAGATTTGAGTCACACATGGAAGGCTTAATGACCTAAAAATACGTTGACCTAAACCTTTACACTTAAAAAATAATTGATACCTTTCCCCAAGTTAAAAGTTAACTTGGGACTTGTTTTGACACGTTCTTGAGTTGAAAATTGCATGTCCTGGCTTGAGACCCGACTTGGGTTTTGATTTGGGATTTGAGCACTTGCAGTACAATGACTTGTACCCACATCTGCCTCAAGTCAAATGGGAATTACGCCTTCAAAAGCAATCCTTCTTTTACCCTTCTTTTCTCTTTGTCTCTCTGTGTTTCAGTCTGATTTGTATAGCGAGCTGAGCAGGGACTTTTCTGAACCGAAGGCGCAGACATTGATGAAAAATGATTCACATCAGGGAGGGAAACACACAATGACAGTAAGCACATTCATTCCTCAGTAAAGATACCACTCTTAATAAAATGTTACACTGAAATCACCTAATTTTATCCTCTCCCTCAGTAAAAAGACATTAAATTGTTTCTGGATAATATCAGCAATTGATTTTTCTGACATTTCAGCACTGTATCAAATCACTTGCTTATTTTCCTCCCGAATCCTGTTTCCTTCTCTGACAATTATCTGACAGATCCCTCGGATTATTCTCACTCATCCCTCTACCTCGGATGAAGATGTGGAGCTTTTGACACAGATCCCCAGCAGAGAGACGTTACATGACTCTGAAATTCATGACACACACTCACACTGTTTTGACAGCGCTTTCTACCTACCTTGACCAGTGAGTAGGGGGACATAAATGAAGGACATAGACTGTTATAACCCGGCTCTTTTCTTTTGTAATGTTACTTTCCAAACTGCTGGAATGATTTACTTGCATAATTTAGTGATATTAGAGTTTATTTTTATTACTAAAACCACAGAGTTTTCCCTGTACAACTCAATAGAACAGAGACTGGAGATCATGATAAGAATGCCCAAATGAATTACTGTAGGCTACATGTCGTAATATGAAATACAATCAATTAAACAATTAATGCTGCTGGCTACCTCTACTTCTCACCACTGTGCTATAAATAATGGATGTGCTAGCTGAAATAGTGTCACCGCCCATGACAGTGTGAAGCACTCAGCTTTTATAGTGTGTGTACTGAGATAAAATGCCACACTGCGGAACAGATTGCACAGCATGCTGTCCGCTTCCTGCAGAGTCCTGATGCAGAATTAATTTAACAGAGGGTGACCTGACTTAATTTAATTGAATTCCCTCGCACAACAACCAGATTGATGGGATTACACACTCTGCCTTTTGAAAAGAGAAACAGAACATCTTGCTTATCATTACCTGCTTTGTGTTGTTTCACAGCTCTTTCATTCTCACAGCAAAACAGTTTATAGTTCTGTGTTCACTTTCTCAATAAAGCACAAATATGTTGTTCCTCGAGGCCTTTCTTTTTTTTCAGCTGCATAACAATCAAATCCACGCTGTCATGCATTCCCATACAAAAAAATTTACGGCAATTTATTTTTACTCTTGCCAAAACAATCATTTCGATCAATTCCTACTGACAGTGTGACAGGAAGGTGTTTGTTTGGCAGATATTTTGAGGTTGTAATTTGCAGTGTTGTTGCACAGGATTGCACCATATTGTGTGTTAAATGTTCCTGTTATTTTGTCCTCCCCCTGCGGTCTTGCTCTGACCAAATACACCAGCACTGATATGACTACTTGTTTGATCAGTGAAGCTCTGCGGAGATGACTGTCTGCTGGGTGATAATAACCCGGGGACACAACGTGTTGGAAAGCACATCCAGCGTGCGAGAATCAATCCAGAGTCAATTACTGGCTGCCCCGGTTCATATTGTGAGACTTGAGTGTTTGTCTGTCTCAAGAGGCATTCATGTAGAGTCAGTGGGAGGAACTGAGGAGAATGAGAGAGGATTTCGATGACTGTAATAAAACTGGGCCTACCTCTAGGAACATTGGTTTTACATCCAGTGTTTGTTTTCTTCTGCTCAAAAACGTTGCGAATAATATTTCCATGTGATATGGCACACATTTTCGTTATTCCATAATTATTCATAATAATTACTGATTCATATTGAATTGTAAATTATTAGGAAATGATTGCAGTGTTTGCAGACACACATGCTACATAAGTGATCTAGGAGTAGCTTCCTACCCAAATAAATTGAGCATAACTTACATGACCAAGGAGTAGGTATACTTCTTAAATTAATAACTTACTTATTTAATTCTAAATAAAAGTTCACTAGCCTAGAATCTGATCCTGGAGACTAACAGGCTAACGCTAAAGCTCTGGCCTGCTCTTTAGAGATTTGAGAAACTTACATTTTAAACTGCAGCAATATTTACCACTTATTTACGAGAGATTGTTTTTGGTTTGCAGAAATGAAGTGTCCTCATCCTTAAGACCTTTTTCTGTGTTGTTTATGGGAAAACCCATGGAGCAAATGTTGCCGGGTTTAGCTAGCTAGCTGCAGTTGAAAAAATCTGCAAGGGAGAGACAACTATAATTTCATCCGGTAATATCAACTGTCATCATCTTACAAAACAGAGCCAATATGCAGATTTTAGGACTGTGTTACAAAGTCTCTTTCACACCAGGCTGTAGCGTTTGTCCCTCTCCCCGGTCATACAAAGGAAACTGCCAAGGCACAC